GGGGAGGGAGGGTGGCTGCTTCCCAGGGTCTTCCCTCGGCTTTTATTTGTCACCAGTGCTGCCCTCAGCCCAGATCTCGAAGATGACGTGGGCCAAGATCCACAGCCAGGGTTCCCCGTCGAACCAGCTCCCCTTCATGGTGTAGACAGGCAGCTCTGGAGTAGAGTGATTTCTGGCGGGAAGGGACAGATGATGGAAACTTTCAACACAGCTTCTGAGGGCGAGGAGCCCGAGCCTCGGTCATCTCTGCCCCTCCATGCCTTACCTAGTGCCCGACACACACATGTGCCCAGCGAGTGACCCACGAATGGATGGATGCAGTGCACCTCCTTCCGCTAAACGAGAGGCTTGGACTCCGGAGTCCTGGTTTCTAGAGGAGGTTCTGGTGCCAACAGTCCTGCCCCACTTCGTACAGCGAGCGCGTCGGACCCAAGTGCCAAGGCCTCTAACGTGGGCTCTGTGGACTTCTATGAAAACGATTAATTAGCATCTATACATTCGCTTCTGGCACTTACTCTCTGATGGCTATCTGAGGAAGGACTCTCTTGTTCGTCAAACGAGACTTAAGGAGATAGCAGAAAGACAAGTTCGGGAAGCACCAAGCAGGACCCTCCTGCCTGGTGCAGGCCACATTTCAGAGGCAAAGATCTGAGCCCCTCCCGGCCCCCATGGCACCTGTGCTGGGGCCGCCTCACCCACCTGGGGGTGCTTGGGGCAGCGGTGACTGGGCGGCCACAGAGCTTAGGCCCCATGCGGCTCAGTTCTGTGGAGAGCGGCTACAATGTTTGGACAGGTTCAAGCCTTGGACTGATGAGAAGGCACAGTCCTCTCGTGGCCACGTCCAAGTCCCAGCTTGGAGGGCAGGGCCCTCCCAGCACATTATAACCAACAGCTATAGTTGTGAGCTTGAACCTATGGTCCGAACACGTGGCCCCACGTGCCTGAGTGATAGAGTTCAGGTGCATGTAGTTGAGTGGGACTGAAACCAACGAGAATGTTGTAAACATCTTGATCACGCCCTTACTCTGCCTCGTGGCATCTGCTATAAAATAAAGACACGGCTTGTGGGCGCTGGCGCTGTCCATCAGAGGAGCAGCGTCCCACCGAGACCCAGCTTTCATTCTCTTTTCTGTTTTTTCTAAGCCTTTCATCGCCCCCACTCAGGGTCACTGAACCAGGCTGAGCTGGCATGAGTATGCCATGGCCGTGCCGGCTCCCCACAAGTTCCAGGTGGACGAGGACCCTTCTCTCCCAGGAGATGAACGGCCAAAGCGCATGCAGTGGTCTGAAGTCCCTGCTTATAGGGCATGAGTTTCCTGAGACCGACAGACTAGTGTAGTTAAAAATGCTACACCACCTGCACCAGGAAAAAGGAGGTCGTTTGAGATCTCTGCTCCTAAGTAGTAGAGGGACAGATGGGTCCAGCTGTGGTCCTGCCCCCCCCCCGCCCCCGCCCTATGTGACAGCGGTTGTCAAGCGGGGCCTGTCCTGCCTGCCTCTCGCCAAGCATGGGTGCCAGTGGGGACACGTAGGTGAGTCATCCTTGGAGAAAGTGCTGACACTCCAGCCCCAGGACATCCGGGCAGGGAGGCTGGCATCCTGGAACCCACAGAGCCTTCTGGACCCGGACGCCGTCCAGGAATTCCTGTGAGATACCTGGAAGAATCCCGACCAGAAAACCTGGGCGTTCCACTCGCCTCCTCAGAACCCGACCGGTTTCTTAGTCTCGGTTGTCGGTTCTTAGCTTTTAAAAAGTTGACTTTAAAGCCATTGTGTATCTCACTTTCTTCTACTGTTTATTCTTGCCGGCTTTCCACTCTTATTTGGTGAACGCTTGCTCATAGCATTTACTTATTAATGTTTCAAATAATCTTTTTTTTTGTATTTTCCTTTGTCAGGTTTTTTTCTATTTATTTTTCCCCATTTACTTTCATGTTTTTCTTCTTTTCCTTGATATAGTTCATTTTATTATCCCCCAACTCCTTCAGCTATTTCTACCCTTTTTATTCAGTTTGATACTTTACTCCCTCTCTTCCTCTCTCGCTCCCTCTGTCCATGTTGGTCCAGCTTTCGCTTGGTGGGTCACAGCATCCGGGGTGCTGAGCCGGTACGGTCTTCTGGCCTCCCTTTCCACAGAGCCCATTGTCCTGTAGGTACAGGTCGGGAGGCGCCGGAAGTCCAGAGAAGACCGTGCCTGGCACACCTTCAGGGTGGGTCCCGAGAAGGTTGGCTGTTAGCAGGTGACAAGCCGTTGCACCTGCCCGCAGCCGATCAGTGTGGAGAAGTCAGTTGGCTTTCTTATTCTTTGACATTAGTTTTTCACAAAGAACAGGAAGAATGTCCCTCTTGCTATTGGGTCAGGTGTGTTGTCTACCCCCTTGACCTTAAAGGAAGCCACTGCGCACCCCCAAACAGCATCCTTGTTCCTGTACCTTTAACAGTCACATAGGGAGGTGTGGTGGGAACCTCCTCTTCTCCCTCCCCGTGTGTTTCAGAAGGGGAACACGGCTCTGCACATTGCTGCCCTCGCTGGTCAGGACGAGGTGGTCCGGGAGCTGGTCAATTATGGCGCCAACGTCAACGCCCAGTCCCAGGTGTGGCTCTCTCCGGTCCCTGCGCTAGAGGGCGCTCTTTTCTCCTTCACCTGTGTGTCTTTCACCTCGGGCACTGGCTACTGGGCTGCACATACTGCGCGGCTGAGTCTAGGTTTGCTAGTGATATGTCTCCAAGCAACAAAGAAGGCATCTTTAGTATTTTTTCACACTTCTACACATTCTAAGCATGATGTGGTTGGTCATTGTGGACCTCGTCCCTGTTCAGTAAACCAGCCAAATAATATATTTAGTTGTGGCCCATTTGGGGAGAGAAGCTGTGCATGGGGCTGGGGCGTGTGAAAATAGAGAAGTGTGTGGGAGAGGCTGATTGGCGGAGGCGAGGGGCAGAAACAGACTTCCATGGAGTGCCGCCCCCACCTTGTGGCCTTTTGTGATCATCCCATTAGGCCGTTTCAAAGGGCAGTGAGTTTTTAGACCTGGAGCTACGGGCGGGGGTGTTGTCCTGTGGGCTAGGTGAGAGCGCTGTCCTCCAGTTTAGAGATTTTTGCACTGGTTTTAGCATCTCTCACTGTTGTGGGTGACATGCAATGACTTTTTCTCTTGGTTTACAGAAAGGCTTCACACCCCTGTACATGGCAGCACAAGAGAATCACTTGGAAGTGGTTAAGTTCTTACTGGAGAATGGAGCTAATCAGAATGTAGCCACAGAAGTAAGTACCTTGGGAAATGGCCTCACGGCCGGAAGTCTCCAGGGGTAGGACATGGTTGTGGGGCATGTGTTCCTGAGGCGTGGCCGGAGGTGCAGCCTGTGTCCTGATCAACGTAGTGTCATTGAGCGCTCTTGACCTTCAGATCCCTGCACTCCTCCTGGCTGCTGTTGGCTCTGCAAGGCAGTAAGAGACAGAGCCATGGGTCTTGAGGAATGCCCAGGCGCATAGCAGAGAAATGACATCAGAGTCTAACATGTCGCTTCCACTATAACCAACACTGAAGGCGGGACAGGGGTGGGGCAGCTGTGTATGATTGACAGGTCTGCTTTGGACCTTAATGAGAAAGTCTCTTGCCATGAATCCATGGTGCACCCTCGACAAGTCAATTAACTCTGATCCTGAATTTCGTCATTGATGAAACGATGACGTTGAACCTGAAGCTAAGGCTTCTCTTGAGCTTTATCACTGTAAAGACTCAACAGTTACATGACTCTGTTATCATTCTGCTTCGCCAGTTCGTGGGGTCCCAGTATACAACTGAGGGAATGAATAACAGTAGCTCACAATTAAGATCTCAGTGCCTGACATGGTTTCTAGCTTTTGGTAGGTGTTCATTAATTTTTGTGAAATAAATAAGTGAATACCCGTTCGCCGTGTTTAAGGCACTGTCCAGGCACCGGTAGATGGGGTGAGAAGAGGTAGGAAAAGAAACAGATGCTTCTCATAGCACTCAGACTGGGAACGAATTGTAAAGGCAAAATAAGTCAGAGCTTAAGAAAAACGACGGTAGGTTCTGTGAGGTTGCAGAGAAGGAGAGCGGGGTCAAGAAAGGCTTCAAGGAGGAGGTGGCATTGACCTGGGACTTAGAGGAGGGTGGGAGGGCTTTGAAGAGCAGAGGACTGGAGGCCCAGGGCCTGCTATGAGCAAGAGCCCTGAGGTGTGGTCACGTGGGTCCTGCCTGAGGCCAGCCGGGGGTCAGCCACAGTCAGAGCAAATCGACCTTTCCTCCTCCCCTCTGGCCAGGACGGCTTCACCCCTCTCGCCGTGGCTCTGCAGCAGGGCCACGAGAACGTGGTGGCACACCTCATCAACTACGGGACGAAGGGGAAGGTGCGCCTCCCTGCCCTGCACATCGCGGCCCGCAACGACGACACCCGGACGGCGGCGGTGCTTCTGCAGAATGACCCCAACCCGGACGTGCTTTCCAAGGTGAGGGCAGCCCGACGGAGGACCAGGAGAAGTCTAGAGCCTGGACCATGGAGACCCGCGGGTTACCGAGGCAGCTCACCCAGACCAGAGGTGGTCCTAGCCGTTACACGGAGCACCAGCCCCATGGTGACTTCAGGTCCCCACTAGGACATCTAGGAGCCCCACTTTAAACCCCCGGTGGACACTGAGAAAAATGTGCTTGGTGTGGAGCAGGGCAGGTTTCTGTGGCTCCCGGCCATCCAGAAAGTGTCCAGGTGGGCAGGCTGGGTCTCTGGCCAGAGTGCACCTTTGGAATCCCAGCAGATGGTGTTCTAGAATATTGTTTTCCTGGCTGCCCCCTGGTGGAGGGAGGGAGTAACCCCACATGTGGAGGGTCATCCTGGGGGCCTGCACGGCTAGCCATCTGGACATGCTGTTTGACGTTTTGAGTCACTAATGACCCACTCCCTGTAAGTTTAGGTGGTTCATTTCTCCTCTTGCTGTGGGAATTGACTTGCATTTGGGTTATTCTTATAGTCCCCTCACCCCATGGTCCCTGGGTTTGGTCTGGAGAAGTGCTGACTGGGTAGGTAGGGTCTGAGGTTATGGAACAGAAAGATGGCAATAGACCCACCAAGGGATCGATGTCTGCGTTTGACTAGCCAGCTGAGTCATTATACCCTTTAAAGGGGCTGAAACATCCCTAGAACTGAGATCATGGACCCAATCCCACTTTTTACTCATTAATTAAAATCTCTTCATAAGTAAGCACTCAGATGAAAGTGCCTACAGAGTTGGAGGCAATCCTAGTCCATGGTTTGTCCATGTGAACCACAGAACAAAGAATGTGGGTCACTCGGGGCAATACCTATTTTTTAAAAAATATGTTTTTATTGATTTCAGAGAGATGAAGGGAAAGGGAGAGAGGGATAGAAACATCAATCATGAGAGAATCATTGATCCGCTGCCTCCTGCACACCTCTTACTGCATCCTGGGCATGTGCCTTGACAGGGAATCGAACCGTGACCTCCTGGTTCACGAGGCAACACTCAATCCCTGAGCCACACTGGCCAGACTAGCTTTTTATTTTTTACGTTTTTGTATGGTGGTAAGTTTTTTTTTTAATTTATTGGGGTGACATGGTTAAGAAGATTATATAGGTTTCAAGTGTGCATTTCTATGATACATGATATCTGTACATTGCTTTGTGTGTCCACCACCCAAAGTCAAATCATCTTCCTTCACCATATATTTGGTCCCCTGTAGCCTTTACTACTCCCTCACCCCTTTCCCTCTGGTAGCCACCATACTCTTGTCTGTGTCTCTGAGTTTTTATTTATTTATTTTTGTCTGTTTGCTTGTTGCTTACAGTTTTATACCCCAAATATGAGTTAAATCAGATGGTTCTTAACTTTTTCTGCCTTTTTGCTTAGCATGGTATCCTCAAGGTCCATCCATGTTGTTGCAAATGGAAATATCTCATCTTTTCTTATGGCTGAGTAGTATTCCACTGTATATACGTAGCACATCTTCTTTATCCAGTGATCTCTGAAGGACACTTTGGTTGTTTCCATGTCTTGGCCACCAGGAATAATGCTGCAATGAATATAGGGGTGCTCATAGCTTTGCAAATAATTTTCACCTGGATTTTGAATAGAACCTGTCACAGACTCTCTCGACCCCTCCTGCGAATGTTCCCATCAGCCTAACTCTGCTTGATGTGTGGGGTCCTCTGGCCCGGCCGGCGTTGTCGGAATCCCTGGGCCGATGCCGAGACAGAAATGGCAGTACATGGCGCGTGACAAGTTGTCCCCCCTCTGTTGTGCCCCAGACAGGATTTACCCCCCTCCACATCGCAGCTCACTATGAGAACCTCAACGTGGCCCAGCTACTCCTCAACCGGGGAGCCAGTGTCAACTTCACACCACAGGTGAGCTCTCTGGAGGGCCAGGGCTCGGGGGCCTAGAGTCTAGGTGCTCCCACCTCTCTCCTGTGGCGGCATGAATTCCCCAGAATGCAGGAGGGGCTGTGGCTCCTCATTGGTGGGTTTCTAATCACATGCCCCTCAGCCCCCCTGTGCCCCTTCTAGAGGGGGGAAACCTGGAGGGTGGGACTGGCTTGCTTTCCCAGTGTGCTGACCCTGGAAGACCTGGGCGTGGCCAGCATGCCGTGATTAACAACAATAATACAGGTTTTGAAATCTTTCTTTGGCAAGAACTGTCCTAAGAGTAGGCTTAATGTGGCTGTTAGTTCTGCTGCCATTGCAGGGCGGGGCCGGGGGCACGAGGGGTAGGGTAGGGAGCAGCTGCTTTCCCCAGGAGGATGCACGCCCTGACTGGTCCTGTTGTCCCTCCAGAACGGCATCACGCCGCTGCACATCGCCTCCCGCCGGGGGAACGTGATCATGGTGCGGCTCCTTCTGGACCGCGGGGCCCAGATAGAAACAAGGACCAAGGTGGGTGCCAGGGGCTCCGTGGCAAGGCCAGGGGAGGGATTCTACCTTCCAGAGTCTAACCCGGGGTGGTGGGTCTCAGTGATGAGCTCGTGGTGGGCCTAGAGCCGCCCGGAGCTGCACCCAGCGGGAGCCAGGGGGCAGCAGGAGACAATAACAAGACAGTGATGGAGTCAAGCTGGTCCTAAGGAGGCATCGTGCTCCTGCGGTGGAATGATGCTGGGCAGCCTTCTCTCCAACGGCCTCTGATAGGTGCCTTTGGGGCTTTCTCTTTGTGACTCTGTTTTTTAAAGGATGAATTGACACCTCTCCACTGTGCAGCTCGGAATGGGCACGTGCGAATCTCAGAGATCCTGCTGGACCACGGGGCACCCATCCAAGCCAAAACCAAGGTGCGTGCCTCCTTTCCACGAGGAGTATCTTTTAGGCGGGGCTCCAGGCCAGGCCAGTCTGGGATCCTAATACTGCTAACTGAGCCAGTGTGCGTGACTGCCCCCAATGCCTGTTACATAGGAGGCACTCTGTATAGCCCTAATTATTATCTTGATCAGGGCCAGCAAAATGTTCTCTAAGGTCCAGATAGTAAATATTTTTAGGCTTTGCAGGCCTTGGTCTTTGTCTCAATGACTCCACTCCACCATTATAGCAGGAAAGCAACCATGGATAATAATATGCAAACTATCAGCTATGTTCCAATAAAACTTTATTTACAAACATAGGCAGCAGGCCAGATTTGACCCCCAGGCTGCAATTGTCCATAGCTTTAGATCAACCCTTGTCTATTTCACCCTGGCTCCAGAACAGACAGGAGCTTAGCACTGGGAAAAGTCTTCAGAGCCAGGCCAGGCTGGAGTAAAGTTAAAAAGGAGACAAAGCAGTTCTTTTCAGTGTCCATTAGGGACCGGAGCCAAGGCCCATCCTTCGGTCCTCATAGCAGGTCTTGAGTCTTCCTGGGGCTAACGCTGTCAGACCACCCGGTGCTGCCTACACCTCCTCCAGGGCCCGTTCCCCATTCTTTGGGGTGAATTTAGAGGATGTGAGTTTAGAATAGTGAGGCAGAAACCACTCTGGAGGTTTTCTGTGAGAAGTTCTATGTCATAAAGTTATAGCATAGTTCTTAACCATGCAAGGCAATTTATTTCCTGACAAATGATCATGTGAGTATTCTACAGAGCTCATGAATTTGGGTCATGATTCACAGCACCAAGCTGGCGTGTGTGTGCGTGTGCATGTGCGTGTGTGTGTGTGTGTGTGTGTGTGTGTGTGTGTGTGTTGGGTGAAGGTATCCTCTACTAAGTAAGTTTATATCTCATTTAATCCTCCATCCAAGGCTGTGCGCCTTTGAGCATGCCTCTTACCCCTCTGTGCCTCCGTTTCTTCATCTGGAGAGCTCTCCTCCTCTCTCCCAGGGTTATTGGAATGATTACATGAAATAGCATCTTTGAAAGACCATGTAAAAGCAAAAGTCCTCAGAGAAGTGAAGGTATAATTGCTACTACCACTTATTAGGTCAGGAAATTCTCAACATCTTTCCACAGAGGGCCTGTATTTAAACTCATGAATGTCCTAAGTTAGTAATGCTCTTATATTATCTAGATTATTAAAATGGGACTAAAAAAGGTGGTTATGAAAATTCTTTACTGAGAATTTTCTTCTTTTCAATTGGGAAATATGGTATGACCTGTTTAAAATGCAGCGAGTGGAATGAAGTGTGTGGCTTGCGAGGGCTGCTATAACAAAGTGCCCACCCTGGGGGAGGGGAGCGGCCTTAAACCACAGAAGGTTATTGTCTCACAGTCTGGAGGTCAGGGTCAGCAGGGTTGGCTCCCCTGAGGCTGTGAGGGAGAAT